AGGAATAGATGAGCTAACAGTTAAGATTACATAGATTTTGCTTATTGATTATAAATATGAATTACCTACAATGTGCTGATTTGATGGAGTTACTGTAATTAAATAATTAACCTTTTGCCCTACATATGAATAAATATAGATGTAATATCAGCTAAATCTTTTGCAGCACAAGCAAACGAATATAAACAAAACAATAAATACTATTTAGTGGTATTTTCAGATATAAATAAAAAACAAATTATTTACAAATAAATAGGCGATGCGGTAGCTCAGTGGGTAGCATGTTCGTTTTACAGCAAGAAGGTCGCTGGTTCGAGCCTTGGCTGGGTCAATTGCTATTTTTGTGTGGAGTTTGCATGTTCTCCCTGTGTTCGTGTGGTCTTCCTCCTGGTGCTCCGGTTTCCCCCACAACTCCAAAGACATGCAGTACAGGTGAATTGGGTATGCTAAAATTGACCGTAGTGTATGAGTGTGCGTTTGAATGAGTGTGTATAGATGTTTCCCAATGTGGCTGGAAGGGCATCCGCTGCGTAAAAACATGTGCTGGATAAGTTGGCGGGTCATTTTGCTGTGGTGACTTTAGGTTATAAAAGAGACTAAGCCATAGAGAAAATAAATGAATGAATGAAAGAAAATACATAAAATAAATTTGAGCAACAATCAAGCAAACAGAAAAAAAATTACAAAAGCAAAAAACATTCATTCATTCATTCATTTTCCTTCGGCTTATCTATTATGCAGATGCCCTTTCAGCCAAGACCCTTTACTGGGAAACACCATTACACACTCTCATTCACTGTGGCCAAATTAGTTCATTTTTGGATTGTGGGGTTAATCTGAGCACCCGGAGGAAACCCACACATACACAGAGAACATGTAAACTCCACACAGAAATGACAAATGGGCCAGCCAAGACTTGACCCAGTGACCGTCTTGCTGTGAGGCCACAGTGCTAACCACTGAGCCACCAAAAACAAACACACAAAAAAATTATATATTTAATGATACAAATTGATACTAATTAAACAAGAAAAGCAAATAAATATGATTAATTATTTTGCAATACAAATAAAAAGTGATAAAAATAAACAAAAGTTTTGTGCTCAAAAAAAAAGAAAAAATATATATATTTTAAGAAATTGCAACAATTAGGGGCACTGTGACTTAGTGGTGAGAACTGTACTCACAGCAAGAAGGTCGCTAGTTTGAGCTGGGTTAGTTGGCGTTTCTGTGAGGAGTTTGCATATTCTCCCCATGTTGGTGTTGATTTTCTCTGGGTGCTCCAGTTTCCCCCACAGTCTAAAGTCATGCGCTGTAGGTGAGTTGAACTAAATTGGCTTTAGTGTATGAGTGTGTGAATGAGTGTTTATGGGTGTTTCCCAGTACTGGGCAGCTGTTTTGCAGTGAAATAAACATCTCTTAAGATAACTGTTCTGGAACAAGATAAGAAAACATAAAAAATATATATAATATAATATAATATAATATGATATATATATATATATATATATATATATATATATATATATATATATATATTGAGTACTAAATAAAAATTGCAACATTTTGTGAAGCAGAAAGATATAAAAATACAATAAAAAATACAACAAAAAATGCTAAGTTTTGGTTGTCATACAGATAATGAAACACGAATTAATCATGTAAACACATATATGCACACTGTATACGCAAATTTACAATCAAATTGAAAATTTACATTATTTATTCATTTTCTCTTCAGCGTATTCTTATTATTAATCTGGGGTCACCACAGCGAAATGAACCGCCAACTTATCCCGCATATGTTTTACGCACCTGCAACACATCACTGGGAAACATACACTACAGCCAATTTAGCTTACCCAATTCACATATAGCGCATGTGTTTGAACTGTGGGGGGAAATGAAGCACCTGGAGGAAACCCACGCGAACAAGGGGAGAACACAGAAATGCCAACTGACCCAGCTGGGGCTCGAACCAGCAACCCTCTTGCTGTGAGGCGAACATGCTACCCACTGCGCCATTGTGACGGCACTTGAGATATTAAAATAAATAAATAAATAAATAAATAAATAAATAAATAAATAAATAAATAAATAAATAAATAAATAAATAAATAAATGACGGAATTTTATGAACATTGATAAAACAGATAAACATTTTGTGCTAAAAAGAACAAATGGCAAATACAAACATTTTTAGCAATACATTTCCAAACGGACAAAATAAACAACAAAGCAAGCAAACACACAAACAGACAAATAAATATATTGCTCTGAGCAAACAGTCAAGTAGAAAAATAAACAACTAGAAAATAAGTGTATTATAGTGAAATAAGCAACTGTTACAGTTTTTCTCAGTGACTTTGCACAACATTTGCACAACAGTTAATGCATTTCTCAAAACAATAATTCATTTTTGCACATCATAGTAGCAGTTTCTCATTCCTTCCAACAAATTGTGAATGCTTTTGGATATGCATCATTTGCTTTCATACAACTCTTTGCTGTTTTATAACATTATCATCTGCTTATGTCGCGAATACTGATTATTCATTCCATATTAAACTAATAGTCCTCATTTCATTACTTGAGTCATTACATACAAAAATGTTGAACTTGTCAAAATTTGTCTAGCAAATTTTTATATATATATATATATATATATATATATATATATATATATATATATATATATATATATATATATATATATATATATATATATATGTATGTATATTTCTCTGAAAATGTCTTGTAAATTGAACAATTTCATGAATGATCTACAGACCTACATTATGTATGTTGTAGGTTCAGTTCCAATATGTACTGCAATATTGTTTAGAGTTGTGCACAGCTCTGCCCAACGAAACGTTATGTTTCTCAGTGGCTTTGGTGCATTTCTCACAACACTATTTACATTTGCACAACAGTTTATGCATTTCTCAAAACATTTAGTAATTTGTGCACATCCTAGAAGCAGTTTCTCATTCCTTCCAACAAATTGCAAATGCTTTTGGACATGCATCAATTGCTTTCATACAACTCTCCGCTATTTATAACATTATCATTTGGTTATGTCATGTCAGTCAAAATAAACTAAACTTGTGAATGCTGAATAGTCACTCCATATAAAACTAATAGTCCTCATTTCATTACTTGACTCATTACATACAAAAATGTTGAACTAGTTGTCAAAATCTGTCGAGCTAATTTTATATAAAAAAATTAAAATATTTATTTTCCTGTAAATGTCTTCAAAATTTAACAATTTCATGATTGATTTACACACCTGTCTGTGTATGTTGTAGGTTCAGTTCCGATATGCGCTGCAATATTGTTTACAGTTGTGCACAGCTCTACCCAAAGAAATTTTATGTTTGTTGTAAATAAGAATGTATTTATTCTTTTGCACAATGTTGTGAATAAATTAGAATTGTAAAGAGTATATGCAGTAAAAATGTTACAGTAAACATACATATTTCGTGTCTTGTACTCAGATACCTCACTAAATGCAGTGATGTCTAACTTTACTGTAGTTTTTCAAATGGCTGTGCAAATAGTATATAGTGTTGTCTTGAGCATTTTCTGGAAGTCTCACCAAAATCTGACGTCAATGGAGCAGTCTGGCGAAATTAAAAAATTAGGCTGATCCTGATTGGTCCTCATGCAGATGTAATGTACATCAAAATGTAGAGAGTAAACTGTCATAATGAATACATGACAAAGTCATTTGACTATCTTGTTCATCAACAATGGTGTCAGGATTTTTCATTTTGATGACACTGATACTTTTACTGACATAAATACTTGCTTTTGAGGAATGCACTATTCATTTTGAGCTTGTAACGTGCTTTTGCAGGTTATCAACTAGGTTTTGAGGTTTGTACTAATTGTTTTGGAAAATGCATTAACTGTTGTGCAGAAATGTACTAGTGTTGTGATAAATGCACCAAAGCGACTGAGAAAAACTACTTGTGTAACTTCTTTACTGTAGTTTTCAAATGGCAGTGTAGTGCTTTCTTCAGCATTTTCAGGATGTGTCACCAAAATCTGACTCTTACATCTGACTTTTTTACATTAACAGAGTAAACTGTCATAATGAAAACATGACAAAGCCATTTGACTATCTTGTTCATAAACAATGGTGTCAGGACTCTCATCTTGATGACACTGACACTTTCATTGACATACTTGCTTTTGAGGAATGAGTTTTCCATTTTGATCAAGTAACACGCTTTTGCAGGTTATCAACTAGGTTTTGCAGTTTGTTCTAAATGTTTTGAGAAATGCATTAACTGTTTTGCGAATGTAGTATTGTAAGAAACGCACCAGAGCGACAGAGAAAACTGTAAAAATATAATAAATAAATAAATAATGAATAAATAAATAAATAACCGAATTTTGATTGATTTAACAAATAAACATGTTGTACTGAAGAAAAATGGCAAAAACAAACATACATTTTCAGCAATACATTTCCAAGTGGACAAAATAAACAAATCAAGCAAACATGTGAACAGACAAATAAATATATTGCTCTATGCAAACACAAAACCAGAAAAACTGTTATACAAATACAAAAAAATACAAATATTCTGGAAAGTGAGATAAGAAATTAAAAAAAAAAAAAAAACATATTTTGGGCTTAAGCAGAAAGGCATAAAAAATACAAATATGCTGTAATTAAACATATAAACTAAAACTGAAAATTGAAAATATAAACAAACAAACAAATAAATAATGAATAAAAAAACATAAAAATTGTATACAACACGCTTAGCAAGACAGACAGACAGATAGACAGATAGACAGATAGATAGATAGATAGATAGATAGATAGATAGATAGATAGATAGATAGATAGATAGATAGATAGATAGATAGATAGATAGATAGATAGATAGATAGATAGATAGATAGATAGATAGATAGATAGATATCTTGTTCCACAGGTAGATGGCGCAGGTGAGCGAGCAGCAGCCAGGACAGGTCTGTCAGTCAGAGCGTTTGCCCAGATCAGACTCAGAGAGCAGAAGCACACACACACACACCAACCATCAAAAACTACTGCGGGAGTCCAGCAAGAGTCACATCACACTCGCTGAAGTCCAGAAGCAACACACGTTCAGCCGCGGGAACGCCGGAGTCCGCGTTTCTCCTGGATATATTTGCCCCGCACGACCGGCGAGTCACGGAAAGCAGGACTTTGGACATAACTGTGGATCGTAAGAGCAGATTTGTTTTCTCCGCAGTGGGAAGGCTCGATCCTCCCCCCGAGCCTGAGGATTTGAGAGGGAAGCAATGCAGTGCTGAGACTGACTGTACACCATATTTCTGCTCCAGTCCACATTTCATCTGAATCTGCAGACGCATTTCACCCATCGACCGCAGATCGACCGCTCTTCATTTCTTTCCTCCCGAAAAAGAAATCCAACTCGAGATTAGGACTGACGCCATTTTAAAGCGATAAAAAACCGCTTGAGTTTTGAGGGATTGTAAAGTGCTTGTCATGATCTAGTAAATGGATTTACTCTCGTAGACTTCAGCAGCAGCAGCAGCAGCAGCAATGGGTGAGTTTAACCTTAGCACTATGCCATTTTGATCAGATTATTTATTTTTGTTTCTGAGGCATGCGATTAACGTGACGTTACAGGCGATGCACTTAAAATCTGCAGAGCTTTTTTACCTGAAGAAAAAGGTAGACCACCGCCAGCATTGCCTGAATTGTTCAACATAAACAAAACTCAATCTCCATTATCAGTAATAAATCATTAGTAACAGTTTCATTTACTACAGAGGGTGAATGTTTTATCTAACTCACCCCGAAGCTGCAATTGCAACACTGGGAGAATACCTTGAGCTGTATGTTCTGATATATAATGGCATATTCATAGGAAGAGGCATTATTCAGCGTAATTTACTGTAATCGTGGCCATGCATCAGTTTCCCGCTGATAGAGTAGGCGTGTGTTTGCACTGTCAAGCGCCTATAGTAAATTCCACTATAAGCCACCGTGTAGGCTTTGCTTTCCATGTCACTTGTGTTCTTCTTACTCATCGCAGACGGGATGTGTCACAAAACCTCACTAGCTGTCTACCTAGACCGCGTTTTTTGGGGCGTTTTGTTTCCCTAGAATGCTGGCAAGAAAGAGTCTCGCTAGGTTTTGAGACACCTCAGCGTTTTGTGTTAATGATGCAACTGTTGACCTAAGTGTTAGGTTTCCTATCTGATCTGTCATAAGGTTGCATGGTCAAATTACCCTTTGCTGACATTTGCCAAGATCAGATACTATTCAGAACGTGAGTTGCAGTTATTATTAATGTTTTCTATATTTAGCCTATCAGATTTTAAATGGTGTTTTAAATGGTTTGGTTGGAGCAAATCTGTGGCTAATTGCAAAAAAGGCATTTTGATAACATTTTTGACCTGGGCCAGGATTTTCTGTTCGAAACCCAAAAGAAACCAAATAAACTAAACATTATACTATTAATTAAATGATGCAGTGTTTAAATGTAGACGATAACACTAGGTTGTAGTGATAAATGACATAATTATTGGTGTTTTAGAAAATTGGTTATATTGAAGTACTGAGCCATAAAAATGGACTTAAAAAATCTTAAATATCAATTTCTGTATTTTAATTGATCACAGTTCATTTTCTCATGTAAATGATATCGACATGGAATTTTAAAATGCCAATATCTGATAACTCTATCTGATATATATATATATATATATATATATATATATATATATATATATATATATATATGAGAGAGAGAGAGAGAGAGAGAGAGAGAGAGAGAGAGAGAGAGCTAAGCATTGTTAGCAAATTGTTGTGGAGATTTCTCACAAACATAATTCAACGATTCAGTGTTTCCCCAAGTTCCAAACTAAATTTCCAACCAGCACTGTGAACTTCCAACCATTGTGGTTGGAAGTGCAGCTCTTGAAATTTGGGTTTTAAAAGCCTCATGATACACTAAAACATAAGATTTAACAGAGTTGTTTGTGTAGTACATCATAGAAGACAACACTAGCATTGCTTAATTTTATTTGTTGGAGAAAACTGCAAACGTGCTGCTTTCCTGACAGACGGTCCAGTCTGCGAGATCATTTGCAGTGACGCATTCATGGATCAAACCTTTATTGACCCTTTATTACATATGGACCTTAATAGACCATGAATATTAATGTGACAACATCACCTCCAACAACCTGTCTCTCACATGAGATAACAAGCAATTAGTAAACTATCCAATCAAATCCTAACAGGAATAAAGTCAAGTCCCAGCCTTTTTGAGAGAGTTGGGAGACCAACTCAGTTCCCACCTATCACGTTGCCTCAGAGGCGTGGGTGGAGTTAAAGACCTCTTTTGGCGCTCTTTACTTGCTTTGACTCTGATTGGGGTAGATTTTTCCACAGCATCATGGGTAATGTTGTTTGCTGCACAGATTGTGCTATTAAACGCTATTGGTAAAATTTAATTTGAATTAATGAATTCAACAAAAGCATAAACAATTGATTAGGTATCTATTTGGAAGACATTTTCTACAAAGCAAAATTCTTTGAAGGTACATATTCATCAGTTCTTGCTTTCCCTAAGCATTGGACCCACAACCTTTGCCATGCTCTAGCATTTAAGCTACAGAAAGGCATCAATATTAATGTTTGGCTACAGAGTCAAAGTATCTTATTTTGTTTTCCACAGGGAAATAAAGTCATACAAGTGTGATATAACATATGATGGTATTACTTTTTTTTAAATGTCCATTCCTCCATCTTCTCTTAGCAAATGTACAAAAGTGTTGTTGCATATCCATATTTATGCCTCAGCAGGCACACGCTGACCTTCTGAAGCAGAATATAAATGCATGTTTGGCATTTAGCCTGAATCAAGAAAAATCAATGCTTTGGTTGCATTAGAGTTTGTTCAGAAGCATTGGCTAAACCTTTGTCCTCACCTAGACCTTCTAAAATAGCTGAACTAAATTGATGGCTTATGGTCAGAAGTGGGTTGTGGAGCTGTGGGACAGTTTAAAATCTTAATTTTGAATGCTGTGGTTCTAGCTATGACAGTATCTCTTTATAGTTGTTTCGAAATGGAAGAGCTGTTAGCAGGTCTTCATCTTTTCATGGAAAGCCAATGGAAAAACCCAGGTCAGATGAGGAGACCGATCATGTTTATCAAAACACAAACACATCTACTTATGGAGCGCTGGCCCACAAAAAGATTCCAGAAAAGCTATTGTATATGCCGAGTATACTATTACACAAAAGAACCACAGTATTTGAGCAAAGGATAAATCCAAAGTGATGTTTATGTGTGTGAATGGAGCTCCCTCTGTTCCTGGCTATGGCTAGTTGCACTGGATGACGGCCAAGTCCTGACAGGAGACAAAGGAAAGAGGGAGATATCCAAGGACATATCTAATTTTTGGCAGTCGTTCCAAACCAAATATCAGAACAAGAACACCTTTTGGCAGCGAGCTACAGCGGGAGGAGGGCTGTTCCATTTTTATTTTTTTCACTACAGCCATTTTGTTTTCGCTGCGGTTGAAATTCAGATCTTTCCTCAATTTAAAATTTACATTTTGGCTCAAATCCATTCACTTGAAAACAAGACAAGACTGCTGGCTTTCTGCAAAAGAGGGATTGACTTCATGTTTGGAAACTTTGACAGGGAGGGATGGTATCAGATGTGTTTCAGTTTCTTAGTATATCTGGCACTGGGGATTGTGTTGACTAAGGAGAATTTGCCAGTATTAGAAGTAGTCTAATTCAGAGTGCTAATTGAGTAGGGTTTGATCTGTGCTTGATCTTTAAATTTGAGTAATCTATCAGTACAGTCATGGAAATAGTTTGAATCTTATACAGTGATGCTGTAGTTGTGAAGCACTGACCCTCAGTTTGATGTTGCTGAGTAGGTAACATTTCAGAAGGGCATAAGATCGCATTTTATCTGCACCTCTTATCTGTAATAGAGTATGAAATAATATCCACTAGCAATCAATATAATTTTAAAATGAAATACCGTAAAATTGACCCTCTGCAGTTGACAGTTCAGGCAAGATTTCAGTTAACAGAGTTGTTTTTCTGTTAATTATGCTCATGATGTAATTAAATATCATCCTTATAAGGTCTGAAATGAAGTGTAGCATTGCTAAGCGTTTTCATTTCCTGTTTTTATAATTTATTTATTTACCTAAAAAATATCTAACCTGTAAGACTTTCAACTATCTAACAGTTATTTTTTATGACATTTGATTAATTTATATCCATCGAAAGAAAGTTCACCAAAACTTTCAAAAAGTTTTTACAAAATCCATTTAGAGATTATTTAAGCCATCCATATGAATCAAACCTTCTTATCCAAGTCTTCCGAAGATTCAGATACCATTGCCCAATTCAAGACTTTTAATTTTATGAAACTTTTGTTTTTATGCACTTTAAATGTCCCTACCTGTAAAGTGCTTCAATAATGCTTTTTTATTTAATGTTTGACGTAAACGAAACACGAAAAGAGGGTAGAACATAGTAGCTCCTCTCTTTAAAAAAAACAGCCAATAGGATTGTTTTATTACTGCTTTGCCAGTGATGCTGCGGTCACACTAGAGCAAGGGTGGGCAAACTCTGTCCTGGAGGGCCGGTGTACTGCAGACTTTAGCTCTAACACTAATCAAACACACCTAAACATGCTAATCAGTGTCTTCAAGGTCAATAGAAATCTATAAGCAGGTTAGTTTGTGCAGGACACTGGCCCTCCAGGACTGAGTTTGCCCACCCCTGCACTAGAGGTTGAGCATGTAAAATTCTGTAGTATGGCGCTGTGAAAAGGGGTGGGATTAAATAAGATGATTAGACATTTAAAAAACAAGCGATTGGTCCATATTTTACATTTCTGTCCTAAGAGGTCAAATTTTGATCCTCGATTGGTCTCACACAGTCACGTAATGCGATTTCGCAGGTCAGAGCTCACCAAGCTTGAACTCTGCAAAGCAGTGAACTGCGAAACTTGTTGCACAAGCTTGCGTGTCCGGTCTGACGCTTTCCTGTGCGTAGGAATAGAAGATTATGGGGACTGGTTGAGCTCAAGTGTATCAAATGAAAAGCAAATGAGAAGCTTTTTGAAGGGGGCGGGGCATGTGAAATACTAGAGAGGATTTGATTGGTTATAATATGATGAGAAACTGTTGTGTGAGGTGACGTGAATAAAACCGTTGATCCATTTGGGCGGAAGTGACACACTAATAGCTTTACATGTTTACATCAGTTTTATATCTTCTAAACAAAAATTTTGTCACTGTTTTGAGGGCACACTAGCTTATAGGTGTCCTAAAATGAATAATACTAATATTAACATCTAAAAAACTTTATTTTAATTTCATGGGACCTTTAAATTCAGGCAAAAAAGTTGCCTTCATTTGGGTTCAATATTCTTATGGGTTTGCAATAACAGCGGGGTGAATAAATGTTTACAGCATTTTGATGACATATGACTGAACTGCTTTTTCTTGAAACCTCAGACTTGTTTGAAAAGTGCAAACTGGTGAAAATTGTGGATGACAG